ATAAATAAATAAATAAATAAATAAATAAATAAAATCTTGTTAAAATAAGACATACAGGCTGAGTTTCTTAGGGATGAGATAGGATAAAGTCTGGAATTTATTATTTATCAGCAAAAAAAAAAAGACAGAACTTGACAAGCAAGAATTGTTAAATCTAAGTAATAGGTATAATTATATTCATTTTAATATTCTATTCACTTCTTTGTATTTTTGAAAATCTTCATAATAGGGACACCTGGGTGGTTCAGTGGTTGAGTACCTGCTTTTGGCTCAGGTCATGATCTGGGGTCCTGGGATCGAGTCCCACATCAGGCTCCCTATAGGGAGCTTGCTTCTCCCTCTGCCTCTCTCTGTGTGTCTCTCATGAATAAATTATAAAATATTTAAAAAGATTTTCATAATAAAAAGGGGAAAAAACCTCCTTTAAACTTGTTTACTCTTCTGCATTCTCAGTGTTACTACTCCAAGGTGTTCACTGTTTCTTATCCAGAAAGACAGGCCCTTCCAGCTCTCCCCTACCCCTAGTAGTAACTTCTCTCCTTTATGATGCGGCTCTGGTGCTAGGAATTCTGGAAACATGGCAGCTTAAACAGGTCCTGCTTCTCTTCTTCTCCTGGACGCTACCCTCTAGGAAGGGGCTGTGCCAGCTGCTGGGCAGGGCTGGTTGGGATGAGTAGAGGGCCTGAGATAGAACCTGGAACCCAGGAGACCCTGGGGCAGACCAGGCCACCATAGGACCCTAGGGGGAAAGCAGGGTGACCCCTAGGAGCTGACAGGCAGTCAAACAGGTGGGCTCGGCTCTCTGCCCAACAGGCTGGGGATGCCGAGGAGGCAGCAGGCAGGGCGAATTCTTGATGGTGTCTTAGAAGAGGCCTGCCCAGCCTGGCAGGCCCACTGGCAGAGACCCCCATTCCTCTGCTCTAGGGCCCCGCCTAGTGGGGATACTTCAACAGCTCATCCCAGCCCCAGTGAGCAGACACATAAACCCCACTCCTCTGACAGGACAGTGGCTGGAGAGAGGTGGAGCAAAGAGAACAACCAAATCTACCCGGGCTGCAAGACCCTAATACAGCAGGGTCAGGACGTGCTAAAGTCCAATCACCAATCCGGGTGGGAAGAGGAGTTTGTCAGTAAAAGGTGGCAGGATAGCTGGATGGCCATCCAGAAAAATAATTAAAGGTGGTTGACATCTTACTCTGTCCACTCGGATATACCCCCAAATAGATCAAAGATTCAGACATAAAAAGCGAAACCATAAAAATACTTAAAGAGAAAAACATAAGCAAAATTCTATATTAAAAATAAAAAAGGCTGAAGGGCACCTGGGTGGCTCAGTGGTTGGGCGTCTGCCTTTGGCTCCTGGGACTGAGTCCTGTATCGGGCTCTCCCTGCAGGGAGCCTGCTTCTCCCTCTGCCTGTCTTTGCCTCTCTCTGTGTGTTTCTCATGAATAAATAAATAAAATATTAAAACCAAACCAAACAAACAAAAAAGCAGAGACTCAAACTCTAAAAGCCACACATTTGACCACATAAATGCATCTTAAGTAATTTGCGTGGCCAGAAAATAACATTAGCAAAGTCAGAAGAGAAACTTACGTTACAACTCCTGTAGGAGATAGAGGGCTGTTTTCCTTCGTATGGCAAAACCTCCTAATAACCAATAAGTAAAAGACCAATAAGTCAATGGAAAAATGAGCACTGGCTCTGACCAGGCTGTTAACAGAAAAAGGAAAACAAACGGTCCTTAAATCTATGAGAAGATGCTCACTCTCACTGAAAAGAGAAATGCAAATTCAAGCTATCTGAAGATCATATATTTTGCCATTGGATCAGCAGGAAACGACATCTTGTTGACACTTGGTTGGCAAGGCTGTGGGGGATCAGACACTCACATTTGTGTTGGTGGGAATGTAAATTGGTATAAGCCCCCAGGAAAGGGACAGCAATGTGGCAAAATTTAACAAATATCCATCGTTTATCCTTCCACCCAGCAATCCTACTTCTGGGATTTATCCTTGATTTATCTGCACGTGGGGTGAAAGATTATCTATTATAGGATTGCGCATAATAGCAAAAGATGGGAAACGATTCAAGGGCCCATCACCAGCGGACTGGTGAAGAATTTCTGATACATCCTTACAGTGAAAACACTCAGCCGGTGTCCTTACCTCATCCCTCTGGCCCCTGCCTTGAGCCCTCAGTAACCCCTTGACCAGCTCCTGATAAGGTGGCTGCTGACCTCGCAGTCACCGTTTCCCGATACATGTTTAATGGCCTTTATCTCACTTCTCCTTTCTTCTGGACGTTTCTCGGTGTCTGGACAGGCACTCTGCTGTTCTTCCTCCTTGTTGCCTATTCCTTCCTCTGGGGCTTCTCTTCCCTCCCTCTGTCTGTTACCCGGAAGTGGTGGGCCCTGACTGTCTCAGGCGTTCCCGGCCCCACGTCCACGCACTCTGCCCACCCACGGCTCCACCGCCACATGCTGCAGGCCTTCTCCTGGGCAGCAGGCCCGCTCTCCAGCAGCTCTCTGGACCTGGCGCCACCGAATAAACAGACCACTGTCTGCTGGGTGTGCGACTGGGAGACTGCGACTCATTCCGACTTCTCTCCCACCTTCCTCAGCCCGTCGGCCACTAGATTCCAGGGAATCGACTTCCCAAATGTCCGGTCATCACTGTGTGCCTGGGAGACCATGGAGGTCCGTCCTCTGCTATTCTCAAAGTCCCAGCCACGGGGTCTTTTCTGAACCCCACTCTCTTCTCTGCTGAGAATCTTCCAGCAGCTGCAGGATTAAGTCCACATTGCTGGTGAGAGTCCATGAGGTCCTGCCTGGCCAGGCACTGCGCAGTCCCCACAAGAGCCCCAGCAGCACAGGATGGGAGTGGAGCTGCAAGGCCTCAAGGGTGCCACATCTCACACCTGCACCCATGCCTAGGCACCACGGCACGCTGGGTGTCCTTCTATCCCACATGGCCTGTGCCGCGCTGGTCTGAGGCATCTGTCCTCTTGCCAGGCTCCTGACTCAGATGGTAGCTCTCCAGGGCTGGCGCTGTGCCACATCAGATGCTTGGCAGGCAGGTGGGAGGCCAGTTCATGCTTAGTCAATGAGTGAATGAAGGGGAAGGGTAGGTGCTGCCTCTCCTGCCTCCTCTAAGAAGGAAACAGGGAGGCTCACCTTTCAGGAAATTCCCTTCTCTAAATTCTGCCTTCGGGACGCCTGGGTGGCTCAGCGGTTGAGCACCTGCCTTCCGCCCAGGTCATGCTCCTGGAGTTCCGGGATCCAGTCCTGCATCGGGCTCCCTGCCCAGAGCCTGCTTCTCCCTCTGCCTGGGTCTCTCTCTCTCTCTCTCTCTCTCTCTCTCTCCCTGTGTGTCTCTCATGAATAAATAAATAAATAATCTTAAAGAAAAAAAAAAGAAGGCTGCCTTCAATCACTAAGAGCAGACTGGGGATCCTTCCCAGGAGACAACCAACTCCGCACCCCTGGAGTTTGTAGGGGACAGGGGGTCAGGGAGACCCACACACGACACTGGAATAAAGCAGGGTCACAGGGGAACAGGAACAGAGATACCAAGCCTCTTGCTGAGATCGCACGGGGAATTAGGGCCAGAAGGGGGAGCAGGCCGAGCGTCTCTACCAATACCCAGGTCTCTCCGCGGACGCCCCAGTTCCTCCCGGAGCGAGCACCACCCCGCCATCACGCGTGTCCCCCACCCCCTCACTCCCCGGTAACTGCTCCTGAAGAAGGAGAAAGAGAATATGGAAAGGCCCCGGAATGCGCCTCCGAGGGCCTGCCTGGGAACGGAGGGGCGCCGGGGTAAGGAGCGCTGGCATCCAGCCATCTGCCCCGGAGAAGCTGGCCACCTGGCCCCCAGGGACGCCGGGCGCAGCATCCATCCCCCAGTCCCCAACCCCCATTCCTTCCGGGCGGAATCTGGGTCCGCGTCCTCTCCCGCAGAATGCTGTTCCCCGCCATGGCCACAGGGGGGCGGGCTGCTCCTTGCAGAAATCAAAGCGAAGGCGGCGCAGAAGGGGATACTGAAGGCGACCCGGTCGGCCTCCGTGCAGCGCCTACTACGTGCCAAGCACTTCCATGCCTCACCTCGTTGAAGGCTCACAACACTAATCCTTTACACAGGAGGACACTGGGGCTGGGGGAATTAAGGGATTCCTCAGCAGCTGGCAGGTCACCCAGCAGGGTCAAATTCGAGTCTCTCTAGCTTCAAATCCTGAGCTCTTTGCACTGTAACCAGACCTGGTGGTGGGAAGACCCAGGAAGTCCCAGACCGGGACGGTGCCTCCTTCCGCGGGGCATCCCAGACTCAGTCCTGGCATGTGCCAGGCAACCACGCTGACATCAAGTACATCAAGGACAAAAAACAACAAAAAGTACCAACCCTCGCTGTAACTGGACCTCTTCCTGAAACAAAAAATTGGTGTGCGTGCGTGCGTGTGTGTGTTTAGAGGGGGAACTGAAATGACTGAAATGTTGAAGGAGCCAAAAAGGGAAGCAGATCCCTGACTCTCACATCCATTATCTCATCGGATCCCCAAGCGTCTATGAGCCAGGTGAGGCGGAGAGATCCTGCAGGCCCAGGATCCCGACGCCTCTCGGAATGGTGCGGCTGTTAGGCAGGTGAGGTGGCGCGCACCTGCCAGCACGGGGTGGGCGGCACACCGTACTCCGGGTCATCTGCATTTCTGCAGGAAAACTACGTGTCGTAAAGAAATAAAGACCGCCAACGGCTTCACCCGGGCTCAAGTCCAATTTTGCCACCAACTGAGTTACGGAAAACACTCGCGCTTCGGGGAGCTTTGGCATTTTCGGAATCGCAGACGTGATTGGGAGCCCGCACCCCTCTCGTTTCGTGGTTGAGGAACGTGAGGCTCCGCGTGAGGCAGCTTGTCCAGAGCCCGCGGACGCTAAGCGGAGCGGGGCGGGGCTCCTGGAGCCCGGGCGCAGCCCCCCGCCCGCCTCCTCGCTCCCGGGCGCCCCATACCTGCTGCGGGCGCTCCTCCCGCGCCGGGCCGCGCACGTCCAGGACGGCCTCGTAGACGTTCTCCGAGTCGCGGCGCGCCAGGGGGCGCGGGCACACCCAGGAGCCCGCCACGCTGCAGGCCTTGAAGCTGCCCGCGCTTCCCAGGAGGCCGGCAGGGGGCGCGGCGGCGGCGCGCGCCAGGTCGTCCAGGGACTGCGCGGGCCGCACGGGCGCCGCGGGCCGCGTGCACAGGCAGGTGGGCAGGCGGGGCCCCGGGCTGCCGTGCTGGGTCGAGGCGCCGCGCGGCGCGGGGCCGCACAGGGAGCTCACGCGGCCCCGGGGCTTGGCGGGCGTGCCGTCGGGGCCCGCGGGCGCCGGCGCGCTCACGAAGCGGTAGTCGTAGGCGAGCGGTTCGGGGGCTGCGGGGCCCGGGCGGAGCGCGGGCGGCGGCGAGGAGGCGGCGGGGTCCCCGAGCGCCGGCAGCTCGCGCACGTACTGCGCCGGCAGGTAGAAGGGGCGGCCGCCGGGCTCGCGCCGGACGTGCCACCAGTGCTCCGTGCTCCGGCGCAGCAGCCGGTAGCGCTCGTTGGGCTGGATGGCGACGCGCCGCCCGTCCTTGCCGGTGTACTCGAAGGGATGCTCCACCAGCACGTACACGTCCCCCTCGACGTCCGCCGCCATCGCGGCCGCGGGGTCTCCCTGTGGGCACGAGGAGGAGGGGCGCGGAGGTCAGGGCCACCCAGCCGGGAGGCGCGCCGCGCTAGGGGGACAAAAGACTTGGTTGAGTCCCGAAGCTGCATTCCTCCTGTGCCTTAGGGCCTTGGTATCTCCAAAACGGGGTACTCGGATAAAATAATCTCGAAGGTTCCCATGCCCACAGTCGCTGATGTGATTATGACAACCCTGATTCTGTGGCATTGCTGATAAGATTTGAGCCTCCATTCAATCCCCCGGTGCGCAGCTTGTGGGTAATACTGGTCCAACTTTGCAGCCAAGGAAGCCGTGACTCAAAGAGATGGGGTTGACTGGTGGCGATGAGTCGACACCACACTTGCCAAAAAGTTGCCTGAACCTCAGTTTCCCTGTCTGTGAAGTGGGAAAAAGAGCTCATTCCTTCCGCGCCCGCCCGCCCCGCTCCCGCCCCGCCCCGACGCCACCAGCCCTCAGGAAATCCGGGTCCACAGAGCCTCTTCCCTCCAGGATCCTGCGCCCCCGGCCCGGGCCCTGGGCCCTCGGGGTCAGAGTTGAGGCGCGGGGCTCTAGGAGCTGCCCCGGCGCCGCTCTACCCCGGGAGTGTCCCTGCTTCGCGTAGACCAAGGGCCTTGGCATGAGGGACCAGGACTGCCAAGGCCGGGGAACCGGTTCTCTTGGTTTCTCTTTTCTTCCCCAGCGGCTCTGCTCTGCGGCGAACGTGAACCCGGAGCCTGGCCCGCCCAGAGCGGCCCGCACCGCCCCCGAACCAGATCCCACCTCCAACCTCCCGAGAGAGGCTGGAGGGCCTGCCCACCTGCCCTGTGATCTCCACGTTGCCCCACGAGAGCGGCCCCTAGAGAATGCACTACCCAGGCGGTGTCCTCCCCAAAGCTGTCCTGGAGTGATGGACCCAACCCACCCCTCTGCATGCCAGCTTAGCTTGGCTCTGGGTGGGGCAGCCTTGGTCAGAGCCTAAGTGGAAAGTTGCCCAGGTCTCACCATCAACAAGATGAATGAGTGACTTCTTCCGCGGCTGCTCCCTCCAGATCTTTACACTGACCACATCTCCTGCCCAATTGGGTCTCCCCGGGGGCAGCAGGTAGGAGCCCCTGTGGCTTGCTGAGGCTGAGGAACCCAAGGAACAGGGTGTGGCCGGCAGGGGTCGGGGTAGGGGCTCCTAGTGCCCCTTCCCTACTTTCTTAAGCTCTCCTCGATGGGGAAAGGGGTGCACAGTGGGCCCTGGAGGCGCAGTCAGTAAACTGCCTGGAGCAAAGCCAAGAAACCCTGGGAGGATACCCCTTCTCGTCACCTTCCCCTGGACCCCTGGCACTCGCTCACCTTGGCAGGGCAGGTCTCTGAGGGCCCATGGGCTAGATAGACCTTCGCAGCCAGCAAGGGATGCAGGTTAGGCCCCCATCTCGTTGGGCGGGGCTTCTGAGGGCTGGGTCGGGAAACCTCGGGGAGCAGGAGCTGCCAAGGGGAGCAAAGAGGCAGAGGGAGGCTCCGGCAGGCTGCCCCCAATTCCCGAGGCAGGTGTATCCTGGAGGGGCGAGGAGGAGCCTGAAGGAGTGTCTGGGCCAGTGGAGACATTGGGAGCGGGCCCAGGGCAAGAGAAGGCAGGAGGGAGGGGCGGCAGCTGGCAGGGCTGCGACTGAAGGTGTGCTGCCTGCTGGCATCAGAGCCCAAGGTGGGTAGACTCCCACCCTGCGCCCTTCACCAACGCCCCCGCTGCGGGATTTGTTGGCCTCCAGCCTCTGTGTCGCCTGGATGGGCTGTTCCGGGGCTGCTCCACCCCGATCGGATCGTCGTCTCCAGGCGTCCCCTTATGGGTGAGGCCATTTGCACCCTGAATCACCAACTGCCAACCGAGAGCCCTCTCCAGCCCGATTGCTGGCACTACTCGCTTCGGGCCCACCTCCGCCCTCCCCAGGCCCTTTCCCGGCACAGCTTGGCCGGGCCTGGAAAGACTCAGGGCGGAGGTCCCAAGGCAGGGATGCCCACCAGAGCGGGGGTCTCGTGCTGGGTGGGGAGGGGACCCGGGACTCGGCTCCTTCCCAAACTCAGGGGAGCGGGGAGGATCCCTGAAACTCCAGGACTGACCCGTCCCCAGGAGTTGCTTTGGGTCCACTGGCCTGGGGACAAGAGCCACAGCGGCGCCAAGCCTGGGTCGGCGCGGGGGGCCTGCACCTGGGCCCGTCCTGTCCCCGGACGGAGGGCAGCCCTTTTCATCTCCGCTCCTCGCGGGGGGGGGGGCGGGATCCGAGCCGCGCGGCCCTGCTCGCGGGTCCCGCAGCTCCCGCAGCTCCTGCCCCAGCGCCCGGGAAGGGGAGCCAGCGAGAGAGAACCCGCCACCTGCAGCACCGCACCCGCACCGGCCCCCGGCTCAGCGCCCCCCGCCCGGCCCGGCCCCGGCCCCTCCGGGTGTCCGCTCACTGGCTTCGCCTCCACTCTTCCCGGCAGGCAGGCGCGCGTGGTTTCGGCGTCCGCGCTCCCTCCTCCACCGCCCAGCTCCCGCGCAGCCCGGTTTCCTGCTCAACAATACAGCGAGGGAGGCACCAGCGGAGCGGAGCGCGCTGGGCAGAACTTCCTCCCGGGCCGAGGCTGGGCTGTGGCTGCTAGAGACAATCCCTGGCGTCCCGCTTCCTGTCCCCTCTGGGCCGGGCCAGCGCCCAGGGAGCGCAGACGCCCCCCCCCCCCGCCCCTCCTGGGCCACACCTGGCTGTCTCTGGGAGGTGTAGCAGGAGGGCGAGGATGGTAGTGTGAGGTGGGGGCGTGGGGGGGGCGTGGGGGTGTAGCCTCCTGGACTACTTCTGGCCAGATTTGCCTCCCACTGTTAGATTCTGTCCCCCTGCTGCCTGGATCCTCCTCTGGAAGAGGGCCACCCTCCAGTCTGTAGGGTAAGCCCAGAGCAGCCTGCTGGAGAGGGACTCCTACCTAGCACTTGCAATTTTCTCTCCTGTAAACTGGGGACAGTGACACCTACTTCCCAGGATAGTTGGCGAGATTGAATGAGATGCACTAAGCACAGTAGAGTATCACATTATTGTAGGAGCACACATTTGTTATTATGAACATCATTTTTTTTATTTATGAAAGTCACACACAGAGAGAGAGAGAGAGAGAGAGAGAGAGAGAGAGAGAGCGGCAGAGACATAGGCAGAGGGAGAAGCAGGCTCCATGCACCGGGAGCCCAATGTGGGATTCGATCCCGGGTCTCCAGGATCGCGCCCTGGGCCAAAGGCAGGCGCCAAACCACTGCACCACCCAGGGATCCCTTAACCTTAGTTTCTTAAACTTTCCTACATGAACATTATTTTTATGAGAAGATGAGCTGTCCTCTCTGGTGTTGGGTTGACATCTCCAACCCCCCATTCTCCTTCAGGCAGGAGCGGGAAGGGAGAAAGGAATGTCCTCAGTGGCACCTTGCTGAGGATGAGGGACCCGGGTCGCCTGGCTCTGGTCTACCTGTCCCTAGGCCTCAAACCCAGTTCCTTTTGTCTTCTCAGAGCCCACTTCCTACTGACCTGGAGAGACTTGAGGCCCCTGAGGGAAGCTGGGGCTCAGGGGATGTGCAGAAGGTGCTCCCCCAGGGGCTGAAAGGCATCTTCGAGGACAAGGAACTGCAGACAGAGCAGAGTGTCTCAATCACATTTTCCCACCATCTGCCTTCCCTGGAACTAGTGTGTTTCCTTCTTCTGGCCTCACCACGGGCAGTGGTGGGCTTCTCCTGGCACTTAGAGGAAGGTAGTGGCCAAGTCTAGGCCACTGGGATGCCTGATTCTGGTGCTGCTCAGCCTTTTCTAAGCCCCCACTCTTGCTTTGGAAAACCCAGTGGGAAATAGTCCCAACATTCTTCATGTTCCAGTGTCAGGGCTCTGTGCTTTGACAGGCACAGCGAAGGTGCCACTGTGGTGAGATTTCAGGCAGCAGCTTCAGCTGTTATGCATGAGTGTATGTGAGGAGACCCCCAGCAAGGCCCCGAAATCTCCCCCTGGCTCCCTGGCCAGGACTCCTAGTGGCACCTCTTCTCCCCTGCGTCCCCACGCCCCCTGCTTGCAAATGTTTACTACCAACCCTCCCTCTCCATGCCTCCCCAGCTAATGAGAGCGGGGGGGGGGGGGCGTCCATCCAACCACAGGATGGCTGGTGGCCTCCCCCAGCCAGTGGCAGCATCAGGATTCAGAAGCAAGATCACAGGTGAAAAAGATCCGGTCTTTACTGCAAAATCATCCAAAATGCACACTGTAGCAGTTCCTTCCATACATTGCAGAGCGCTGTTCAGGGCCAGCACCCCCCGCTAGAAACAGTTTATTGCATAAAATGGCATTTTAAAAATAGTGTGGGCACCAAGAGGTTCACATCAGCTTTCCATTGGAGGTGAGAGGGTAAAAGTCAACTCATTTGATTAGCAGCTTTCTGGTACTGGGGAGAGGGTCAGTTCTAATGCTACTAGGAGGATACTACTGGGAGGGCGGCGGCGGGGTGGATACCCAACCTAAGCAAGCTCCCTAGGGCCTCACTCCTGCTGCCTCCTAGGGCACCTTCTGGTGCACATAACATACTCATGGGCCTGAGGAGCCAGGGCTGGGCCTGGGCAGCACTGCCCACCCCAGGCCAGCCCCTGTCCACTTGGGGAACTGGGGCACCTGCGGCTCTGCTTAGGCTGGATCTGTGGGGGAGCATTAATGCTGGCTATGGGGGTGCAGGACGGGGATAAGGACCCACTTTCCCATTTAGGAGGCTTTGGCATGCTGGGCCTAGTGTGCACCATCTTCCGCGCCGGGGACAGAGAAGTTGTGGGGCAGCCCCCTGGGACAGCCCCCCCCACCCCCCCAACCACCTACTCTGTTCTATTGCACAATTTATCCAGCTTCTCAGGGCTGGGCAGGTGACTCAGCAGCCGAATCACCCCCAGGGAGATGTGGGAGTAGATTCAGCTCTTGACAGGCAATCTCCACCTGAGGCCCCCAATTCAAGCTGAGAGCAGAGAGGATGGCCAGAGGACCCAGGGCCGGGGGTGGGGTGGGGGTGGGGGCTGTGGGTCCAGGAAAGATGGGAGAAGGCAGCAGAGAAATCAACCCCCAAACCCCAGGGTCTAAAGGTCACTTTGAAAACAATTGCAGGCTCCTGCTCTACCCCAAGACCCCCTTGAAAAGGCAATCATGCTCCAATGACTTTTTCTGGTCTCTGGTAGGGCCCCTCCTGGCCAATCCAGCAAAGCTTTGTGAATTCATGGCTTTGTAAACTGAGGCTCAGTGTCCTTCCAACAGGTGGCTGCTCCCACGTGTCCCTGTGCGTCTCTGCAGCAGGGCTGGCACTCTTTGTGGAAGGACGAGGTCACCACTCCACAGTGCGGGCCTGGCAGTCCTGATGCCCGAGGCTGGCCACTGGCCTGGGCTCGTTGCCCTCTCTGTGGGCCGAGCCTGCCTCTGTTGCCACAGGGCTCAGTCATGCGGTGGGGGAATAGGGCAAGAGTGTGTCTGCATCTGCCCCCGGCCCATCTGGCTGCGGGTCTGTGGTAGGATGGGACGGCGAGGGGCTGAGGGGTAGGCAAGATGACCACCCTGCCCTGAGCCAAGAAAGGCTCAAAGTGCTGAGAGTGCTGGTTCCAAATTTCTCCCTTCTCCCTCAGGGACCAAGATCCCCGACTACATGAGAGCAGGGGGGCTCTGACATGGAGAAAGGTGATGGGGCTTCCAGGTGAGGTGGACAGGCCAGGGCAAACAGAGGGAGAGGGAGAGGGCAGTCATCGAGACCCATCCCACCAGCCCCCGGGCAGTTTGGCACGTCGTACTTGAGCTGTGGGCAGTGAGCGCCCGGTGTAGGAGAAGGAAAGGCACCCAGTCCAGCTGGCAGGCTCTGGCCCAGCAGTGGCCTGCCTGTCCAGCCGCCTGCCTGCCTGCCTGCGGGCCAAGTGTTCCCACACATTTGCTCAGCATGAGAAGGCCTGGATTTCTTGGGTGACTTGTGTAGGGTCAAGAATAAAAAAATATTTTCTGTTGAAATATGAAGGGGAAAAAAAAACCTGCCTTAAAAAACTAGAACTTTTAATCAGGAATGTGGAATTCAGAATGCGCCCAAGTCTTGTTTCCACAGTGTTTGAGCAGCCCTGATGGATGTGCCGTGTCTGTGAGGTGAGCTGGGGCCTGATTAGTGCAAAGTTCCCCCTCCCTGCATCCCCTGGAATGGGGGCATCTGATGATGTCCCCATGTCCTGGAGCAGACAGGTGGTAGAGGGACTGGGTGACATCATCGAGGGCTTCCTCTGGGAGGCTCGTGCTCTGGTCACATCGGAGTCTTCGTGACAGGGGAGACAGCTGTGACACCTTGAGAGGATCCGGACTGACGCCAAACCCAGCTGAGATGGGTGAGCCGAGCCCCCACCCCGCAGCCTTGGTGGGGACAGCTCGCTGACTTAGGTGAGAGTGCTCTGTTCTTGGTACTTGCGCCGGCGGGCACAGCGGGGGCAGCCCTTCTTCACCACGGCCTGGCAGCTCTGGTGGAAGACGGTCTTGCACTCGCCACACCTGGGGGATAGCAGCAAGCACCGCCTGTGCCATGGGCCGGGGGCCTGGCCAGCGTTCCTGACCAGAACCCGCGGGGAGGCTGAGCGGCACCCGCCACGCAAGGCACGTGTGCGCTGCCTCTGCATGGCCAAATAAAACCTCGCGACAATGCTTACCCTCCTTCACACCACAGGCACTGCTGACACTCTCTGTTCGAATTCACTTTTTAAGATGCTGCTTGAGACTCATGAAATGACTTCTTGCCTATGTTGAAAACCCTCTGCCGTTTAAAAAACTCAGCCTAGGGGCTAAATCTAGGCCATGAGACACCTACTGAACATGAATGAATGCTCCCACCTGCTCAGTTTTCCACTCCCACACGGGCTGGAATGGAGGTTTGGTGGATGAATTTTTCCATTTAGAGGCTTCTGATAATGAGTGATAATCGGGTAAGAACCAGCACTACTGCAGGAGAGAGGTAGGCAGGTACCACCCACAGGGTGCCCACTTTGTGCCTGGCCTGTGCCAATGCTCCAGGGCAGTAACTCATTCAGTCCCTCCTCAACCTGTCTGTAGATGACAAAACTGAGGCCCCCGCTCAAAGAGGCAGCAAGCCACCTCTTCTCTAGGGAGACAGACAGCTTCCTTGATCTAGGCAGGGGCCATTGGAGGGCTCTCTGAGCTGGACCGGAGCTGCCGTGACTGCCCAGGGCATCGGTACCGGCACAGACAGGGTGTCTCTGTATTTCTGCACAATGGCACTGGGCCTGCCTCCCTGGATAGCTGGGGCCAGCTGTGGGTAGGGGCGGGGTGACAGGCTGGGTGTCCTGCATACCTGGCTGTGGTGTCAAACTCGAAAGGGAAGATGATGTCGTGGTGATGGCAGATCTGGCAGATGAAGCCACGCTGGGTGCACAGGTCACAGTGGTAGACGTGCTGGGAGGCAAATCCAATCAGGGTGTTGAGGAACCCTTCATACACTCCGTCCGCGATCTGTGGAGGGCAAGTGCAGGCCGACAGGCCCTTCGGGTAGCTGTGCTGAGGCTGAGGCCATCTATAAAATGTGGCTCCATCTTGCGTCAAGAACTCCTATTCCCAAAGAAGTATCTTCCCACTTGGGCAAGACCCCTCCGCCCCTGGACCAGGCTGAACAATGCAGGTGTACAGCTCCCGTACATGGATGTCACTGGGGGTAACCGGCTTAAGGATGAGACCCAAATCCACAGAGCCCTCCCTGAAGGAAAGGAGTGTCCTCAACTTTCATGCCTGGGGCCTCTCCTCCTGCTGCCCTCTAGCTCGGATGAGGCCAGAGGCAGGGAAGGGGCCAAGGGGCTCCTGTTCCCCAGGCTTTGCTGGACTGCCTGCTAACTGCAGGGGGCTGGCGCTCAGTCAGTGCCCAGGAATCCTGGGACAGCCAGACACATAGTCTGAGGTGCTGAAAAGCTGCAGCCACCCCTCCTGTCTGATGTCTCCAGGAATGAGGCCCCTCTGGGGAGGTCTGGGGTAGAGAAAGGCATTCTCACCTGCTGGAGGTCGGCAACACTGTACTTGTGGGGAGACTCCAAGAGGTAATTCCTGTGGTTGAGCCTTCAAACAAAACAGAAGAGGCCCCTTACAAGGGTTTCCTGATCCGGGCCAACCTGTGTTTGTTTTCATTCCTTCAGCTGCTCACTGGGTATGAACGCCTGGCCAGGGCGGTGCCTAAGAGCGCGGTCGGGTGCCCGGGCTGGGGATCTGGTCTTCCAGGTGACCCAGGGCAAATTACTCAACCTCTCTACAACTCAAGCTTCCTCACCCGAGAAATGGAGCTCTTTGAGGATTAAATAATTTATTTAAAGCATTTGGCGTAGTGCCTAGCACACAGTAAACAACGAATGATTATCAGCTAGAGTTGATAACACTGTATCGTATAACAAATTTGCTGAGAGAGTAGAACTTAAATGCTCTCACCAAAAACCTACACCTAAGTAGTGAGGTGATGGATGTGTGAATAAACCAGATGGGAGGAACCGTCTCACAATGTATATACATACACCAAATGATCATGATATCCACTTTAAACATGTTATAATTTTGTCAGTTATGCCTCAATAGGGCTGAAGAAATTTCCAAAAAATTTTAAAGGTTATAAAACATAAAACGTCTATAAAAAAATAATAATGAGGAGGAGGATGACCAGAGCCAACATTTATACTGGGAACTGGGCTTAGAGGTTTATATCCATTAACTCATTGCACTGTCCTGTGAGGTTGGTACTCTTATAATCCCCACCTCGACAAGAGAGCTGGAGACCTGAATGCAGAAGTCGGCCTCTGGAGCCTGCACCCTTTCCCATCCCAGTGAATGCCTGAAGGTGTTAGCTGTTGTCATTACTGCCACCATTATACTAGGGACAGCGGGACAGAAATGCATAGGAGGCAGCCTCTGCCCCCCTATAGCCCCTGGGCTAGCGGAGGGACACAGTCAAGCATCCAGTTTCAGTGCTATGTGAGAGGCATGGCGATGTGGTCTAAGGAAGGCAGATCCCATTTCACAGTGGGGTGGGGCATGGGGGAGACACGGCGAGGGTGGCTCCACTTTCCACCTCAGCAGTGGCAGAGATCTGAGGGGTTCCATCCTCAGGGATAGAGAATAAATGGCTGCAGAAATCCCCCTGGGACACCACCTGCCTGGCCTTGCTATGTGTGCCTGTGTGGGTGCTGGGGTTGGGGAGAATGCTCCAAGCCTAAGGTGGCTGCAAACCTGCCCCAGGAGCATCTGGGATGGGGGCTTGGCCATGCTCCACCCTATGGCCTCAGATGTGATCTGGAGAAACCTGGAGCAGGGGGACAAGTCCCACCAAATAGCCCGGCAGGCCATGCTATGCCACAAGAGGTGAGGACACTACTGCTTGGTTCACCATTCTGGTTTCCCCAGTAAACTTCCAGCTTTCTGGGAACAGGAAGCCACCATTTATCACCAGGAAAACGCAGGGGGTGGGGGGCACACAGGCCATCCCTGAACTGGCAGGAAGGGTGGGGCTGATCTGGATGGAGAGTCATCTCTGTCATCTGTACACAGTCATGGAAGCCCTGGGGACCAGCCAGGCACAAGACCCTCCCTGCAAGCCACTGTACCCTGGGCCTGTCATACTCTCAGTGAGGCTCACAGTTGCTTCCTCCACAGGACTCAGTCCAAGCCACAGGGGACAGAGCACTGGCCCAGGGGTGAGATGCCACTGCTCACCCTGTCAGGAGAGAAGTCTACACCCTGGGGCCTCTCCAGGCCTCTGTTCTCCACCCCACAATCGGAAAGTCCTTTCTGTCCTCTCCTGGCGTGAGGCCGGGAAGGGGCCAGAGAGATCTGTAGGGAACTCGGGAAGAGAGAAAACAGAGGCGAGGTTGCCCCTTTACTCCTGTAACCAGTGATGAGGTGGGAAAGGGCGCTGGCAGGGCTGGCAGGGTGGGCAGGGCTGGGTTCCAGGCCGAGGCTCTGACTCCTTTGAACTTAAGTGCCTTCTCTGCCCACTCCTCCAGGGCGTTTCTAATGGCTCCTTCCCAAGGGCAGAGAGGGAGCTCTGAGGCTTCTATGGCCCCTGGAGATGTGTCCAGGCCTGTCTGAGGATCCCCTTTCTCTCAGAGAGCCCAGCCAGAGGGCTGCCACTAGCAAAGGGGAAATCCTCCCTGACTTCACCACTCATACTCAAGGCCTGCCCTTCCTTCTCAACCATTCCAGTCCTCAACCTCCACTCTGGCCAACTCAGGCCAGGCCTCCTCACTTCCCAGGGCTAATTACTACATCGGCCTCTGTGCCCCCACTACTGCCAAACACAAACACATATTTCGTGTTTAGGTAATCTCTCCACCCCATGTAGGGTTTGAACTCACAACCCCGAGATCAAGAGTTGCATGCTCTACTGACTAGCCAGCAGGGCACCCCCTAAAGTGGCCTTTTGTAGACCCTGTTGAGAACATCCCTTCAAAGGGCTCCCTACTGCTGACAGGATAAATCTAAACACCTTTAGTGTGGCACCTGGGACCTTTGAGGTCTGGCTCCTGCACCCACAGTCCAGCTGCACTGAACCCCTTCAAGGGTCCCGATGAGGCACAGTCCCGTCCCTTTCCATATCACAGGTCCCCTTTGAACTAGGAAGGCTGGGCCCTCCCTTCCCCTTTCTTCTAATTCTTTTGCAAAATCCCAGTTCACTATGTGCCTGTGTGAGGACAGAGTTCTGGAAGCATGCCCTAATAGGACTGATGGTGGTGGGACTGGAGGAAGGGTGATTGGAACTGCCTGCTGGATTCTTTCATGCTGAATATTGACTGCCTTTGCAAAGAAGAAACACTTTTTTTTTAAGGAAAGAAAAGAAGAAAAGAAAATCCTGCAAACCCTCAGCTACGATGCCATCTCCTCTGGGAGTTTCCTTGGCCCTCCGGCCCTGACGAGGCTGGGTCTGGTGCTTTCCCTCATGGCATGAACCATGCTGACCCAGGGCCATCTGTCTGCCTGTGTGCGTCCTTGCCCAGACTCTGAGCCCCTCTACCGGCCCTCACCACAACTCTGGAAGGCCGCATGGCACAGGGATTATTGGCCAATTTTGTAGACAAGAAAGCTTAGGCTCAGAGAAGTAAACCAACTTCTCAGTCACACAGCAAGTCTGAGGCCGGGCAGAGGCTGCTCCTGAGCTCTTTCACTTGCCCCCACGTTGCTTCTAAAATGGGACTTCCACTGACTGAACCTTGCTCTCTCGAAGGCTGGTAGGCTGCACAGTAGTTATGCAGTGCTACTACCCAAGGATGGGAATAGCAGAGGCAGGGAGAAAGGCATGGCTGCCTAGCAGGTCAGCCCAGACAGGTCAGTAAGGTTGACGACCAAGCAATCTGAGCAGGGTGGGGACAGGTAAGTGAGGCCAGCACCCAGGACTCACCCTGCAGGTACCTGGTCTGCTGAGGTCTGCAGAAGATCCCCTTGACTGGAGGGTGATGACAGGGAGATTTCACCACTTCACTGACTTCTGGTCCAGGATCGAGGGGCAGTGAGTGAAGACCCAGGCATCCAGCTAATGATCGAGACAGGCAAGGTCTCCCCGGGAAGCAGACTGCTAGGGTCCCTCATGGTGGCCGCCAGAGGGGCTTTCTGTCCTTTCAGGTCCCGTGGAGACCAGGGCTCAGCTGGCTGCTCTGGGAGCCTAAGAGGAACCAGCCTCTCCCTCATGCCTAAGAGAGAGCTCCCTGCAGCAGCCCCCTTGTTGAGAGTTCTGCGGGGCCTATACTGGGCACCACTTGGGGCCTCAAGCAACCATGCAGGAATGGCCCTGGGAGGACAGTAGCCAGGACTCTAGAGCTACAGCCCATCAGAGTGGTGGTCTCTGTGCCATGCCTGTGTGGAGGAGTGGCTGGGGCCATGGGGGGAATGTGAGGGGCTTGTGAGCTGCTCCAAGTGCCCAGACACCCAGCAACAAAGCCCAAGCGAACAGGAGGCACCAGCTTGTCCACCTGGGGTCTGCCCTTCTGAGGGCCCTATGGGTGAGGAGGTTTACAAAGGGCCCAGAAAGATCCTAAGTTCATGCTGCAGCACAGCATCACTTCCGGACCCTGAGTAGGTCCCTAGGCTCTGGGGGCTGAGAAGCTTCTCAAAGGACATCTGAGGGTCCCGCCCCAGTCTTGCCCCCTTCTGAGGATTTGGGGAGGGATGCTGTGCTGGATAGCAACAAAGCAGCCCTGGAGGGAGGACTGGGTAGGAAAGGGCCAGGCTACACTGCTCTTGCCTCCCAGCCTCCCAACCACACTCACTTTCCTCCTTGCACCCTCTCTCCATCCAAGTTCTCTCTGTTCTTTCCATGTATGCGGCCTTTGTTCATGGCCTGCACACACTCTTTTTTCTATCTGGATCACTCACTCTTGAGTCTCTTCCCTTTCTAAATTTCTACTCATTCTTCAGGTCTCACATTATTTGTAAGTTCCTCCTGGAAGGCTTCCCTGCTCTGCCCTCCTCCAATCCTCTTAAAGTGCTCACAGTGGTACTTCTAAGCATCCTGCCTCCCTCCCAGCTCCCTCCCTGTTGTAGCCATTGGCTTATTCATCTGCCTTCCCCTCTAGAGAGTAGATCCTGGGTCTGCCTTGCTCAGCGTTGAGCCCACAAGTCTGGTAACTTCGTATGTTCTCAGTAAATATCTGTTGATGAATGAATGAATGAGTGAATGAATACATGAGCAGGTAAAAGCCACTCTCCAAGTATGTGATCATTTCCCAACCCAATGGGAAAGTGATTTCTGCCCAGCCCTGGCATTTCTCCCAAGAGGGCATCTTGTGCTGGTGCTAGCTGTGTGTGTGTGTGTGTGTGTGTGTGTGTGCGCGCGCGTCCCGCGGGCGTCCAGGATGCTCACCTCTTGCTCAGCTCTTTCAGAGCTCCGCTTCGGCTCAGGCTCAGGTAATCTCCCAGAAGCTTCAGCTGCTCCCGGCATCGCCTGATGAGGCGCATCTGCTCCACATGCTCATACAGTGAGGCGTTCACCAGCTGCAGGTTGATGAGGGGCTGGGCCCGGATCTGCATCAGGAACTTCAGGGCCTGCCGGCAGATCTGGGGCGCACCACATAGTGGGGATGGGGACAGGATGGTGAGCGCCTCTGGGATGGGCACGGTCTTACCTACTCACTCACCCAGCCACCCACCTCCAGGGGACATGGTGCCATCTTCATTTTACAAATGAGAGAACTGAGGCTCAGGGTCGAAGTGACTGGGCCTATGTCCATAGCTCAGAAAAGTCAAGATCTGAACCCAGTTAACCTAATGCCCAGACCTATTCTCCCTCCACGGCACCAGCTGCTGCCCTTCTCCCCCTGGCCCACAGACCCTTCCCACTCTTTCCTGTCTTCCCAGCCCCCACTTTCCTGCCTCATGGAACAGGCACTGCCTGAGGCCAACCACGCAGGAACCAGGTGACTGTCTGAGTCAGGCTCCAGCCACAGGAAGCCACAGATCAGAGCCGGCTTAAGGAGGTTTTCCAACTTCCCCAGCTCTTGCCAGCAGCACCAACCCAGGCTCCCCCAAGTCCCTGTGTGGAGGTGAAGGATCAATCCCAGCCTTTCCCAACTGATAGGGTGTTGCAGGTCCCACCCTCAGTCCTGACCCTAATGCCAAAGCCAGTTACTGAGAACCTACTATGTGCCAGACAGAGATCCTCAGCCCCATCCTTTCCTCATGTTTATGACAATCCAATGGGGAAGGTGTCATCATCCCCATTTTATAGATGAAGAAGTGAAGCCTCACAGAAGCTAAAGTGGCCTATCTAATCTACCTGCAGAAAGTGGAGCCTGGGTCTAAACTGAAGTGTGGTCTTTGCACAGATGGCTGTTTCATCAACTAACGAGAAGCCTCTCTCCCCTTCAGTGTCCTCCTCACTGTGACGAGAAGGACGGAGGAGCTGAGATGTTCTTCACCATCAACTTGGAGTTGGGGTTTCAAGTCAGAATTGAATTTGAATCCCAACTCTATCACTTACTAGCAGTGTGACCTTGTGACAATTACTTAACCTCTCCGTGACTCAGTTTCCTTGTCTGTAAAGTGGGGAAAATAAAAGCACCTCCTTTATGGGATTATTTTGAGTTCAGATAAAAAGAAAATTCATAAGCTCCTGGCACACAGCATATCCTCAGGAATGGGAGCTGCCTTCAGACTCTGAGTGTCCGTGTGGCCCAGCTGGCCCCTGAAGCATTGGGAATGTGAAAGGGCCCTTGGGAGACGGTCATACTGGGGGCTTAGGAGACTCTGGCCTCCTGTCATCCAGTTCCACTGCCATCTCTTGCCTCTCCCAGCAACAGACAACTCCTTTTACCATTTCTCAGAGCCCTGAAGTACCAGCCTGTGACCTGATGGGCAGTCGAGCAGCAAAGGCCTGGGGACTCCTCTCAGACTGCTCTTCTCCATACCGCCTGGCCCGTCCCATGACTCGCTTCAAGCCTTGGGTGAGGCTCTGATGAAATCACACAGAGGAATGCATGCTGAAAACTGCCAAGTGCTATGGACAGGCAGGAGCTTCCTGCTCCCCCGGACTGTTCCTGGCCTGTGGGCTTGCAGGAGACAGGCGAGAAAGAATCCCTGGTCCGGCGCTGACATCCTGCCAAGTGCCAGCCAGACTCTGCACAAATGGGTCAGCCAGCGGTAACAGTGAACAATAAGGCCCCTCACCCACGAGCCAGCCACTTTCTATTTCGAATGTTCCTGTCTTTCCCAGGACAGGGATCTCTGAGAGAGCGAGAGCTGGATATTTCCTGATCTCAGACATACCCAGAAAAGTACTGTCATTTTCTGGTAGGGAGAAGGAAGTGGCACAAGGATTGCAGCAATAAATAAGAAGATGGCTTAACCAGTGTCCGGGTGTTGTAAATAGTGAGTGTGTTTTACGGCCAAAGAATGATTTGCATTTGTTGTGGTTCTGAGTTTAATATTCTATGTGTAGTTAGTTAAATACTTACCACTGAGGGCAGGAGTGAGGACAAGGTAACGAACCAAAAAGCCAAAATGAAGCTAATGTTCTTTCTTGGGGTTCCAGTCCCCAGCACGGTGGAGGCTGGGGTTACACACAACCCTTTCCTGCACTCTGAGGACACATCTGCACATCAAGGCTGCTCATCCAGTAGGCCTGGAGCTTGTGAGAAGCAAATCCCTTCCTTATGCTTCTGTGTCTGTCTTAAACAGAAATCTGTGCCTTTGGGGTGAAGCCAAACTTGTGTTCTTGGAAGCAGGCCCTGACCAAGTGAACCAGGGGCCAAAGGTGTGACAGGCCTCAGGAGAAGGAAAGGGCTCTGATGTAGGGGCTCTGAGAGACTGGTGGGTCCTGTCTCTGTTAGTTCTTACACAACCCTGAGGCACACACTTATTTATTCCTCTTTAGAGACCAGGAAACTAAAGCTAAATAATTTGCTAATGGTAACACAGTTAGTAAGTGGTAAGCTCAGGTGTAGAGGAAGAAATGTGAACGATCCTGGGATACATCCAATTAAAAAGCACTTGGTGAACATAAAACAGTACCCAAGACTAAGTGATGCTAAGTCGACAAAGCACGTTATGAGTCCAAGATGATCCCAACTTTACAAATGTATGGAAACAGATCCATGGAAAAGGCTGACTGCTCCAAGGGGAGGTGCAGCTGGTTGGCCAGCCCACCCACCCACATCCATCCACCATCCGGTTATATATGTAATATATCCTAATTATCCTTCCTTACCTACCTATCCTCGTCTGTCTGTCTATCTATCCATCTGGCTGCTGGTACCTTAGTTTTGTCTGTAGCCATGGGGAGCTGCAGAGAATCATCCTTAGACCTCTACCTGAGGATCAAGGCAGACACTGACAGAGCTCTGCTCAAGGCTATAGACCAGCACTGCATTTTTTGCTTGCTGGCTCCCCCTCCATCATGGGGCCTGAACCAGGGACCCAGGCTTCCCGAGAGCCAGCCTCCTTTACAGAGATGAAGAGCAGCAGCAAAGAAGTATGATCATTCGTCTGTCACTTAGTAGCCTTGTGTGGCCACAACAGGCTGGGCTCAGGGCTTACCGGGCGCTTGGTGAGGTCCCAGTTGTGGATGATCCTGGCCGGAATCACCGAGGCATCATCTTGGTGGCAGATGTCACAGTAATAGAGGCCAGAGAAGGCACAAAGCTTGGGTCGTACAAATGAGAAGCCAATCTGTCGGGAGCAGCCTGGGGAGAAGGACAGTGGGAGAGTGAGCAGTGGCAGGGCCAGAGTCTACAAACAATGAGGAAGTCACTAAGCTGAAGGACCAATTCTTTAAGGGAAGGATAGATTAAAAAGGATAGAGAGATAAAACCACCCTCACTCATATGCACCCACCAAATAACCCTATTAATTAGTCTTTATAGCAGAACACCATTAGCAATTATTGTTGCCATTTTACAGCTGAAAACATTGGTGCCCAGAATGGTGGAGACCTGCCCAGTCATGGGACGATTACATGGCATAGCTGGGCACTGGATTTGGGTTAGGTTGCTGTTAGAGCCCACATCGTCTTCTGTGTAGCTGTATTCAGTGTTTCCACTGCTTGCTCACCGGTGCCAACCTTCTGTAGGTCTGCCCCTCCACTGAGGCCCAGAAGTAGAAGCAACCAAGTCTGGGCCTCGGTAAGCAGGGTGGGAGCTGGGGACCTGGGGCCGGCCACAGGGAGTGGGTGGAGAAGCCAGTCGAAGGCAGGGGCTGTCTGGACATTGCCTGGGGCCAGCCTGGAGTCAGAGATGCCTGGCCCCGCAGGATGGAGATGCAGAGCCCAGCTTCAGCCCCTCTGCTAGAGGTCCTTCCACAGCAGCGGGCAGTGAGAAGTGGAGTGGGTATGTCCAGGGTAAAGCAAAGGCCTGGCTCAAATCCTGAGTGCATGCCTGTCTCCCACAGGGCCAGGGGAGAGTCTAGCCTTGGGACTAGAAGGGCCACCTCTTCTGTTTAATAGCTGCCTCACCCTAACCCTTCACTGAATTTTTGCAAGGTTCTGTTTCAGTGTCTATAAAAGTCTGCTGTTACTTGCTTTCCTGTGGAGAGATCACAAAGTTTAAATGAGAGGAGATTTTGAAAGTGCCTTGCAAACTATGAATGCAGCCAAATGTCAATGGTGGGTATCTGCTTAGCTACAGAGCTGTGCTTGCAGCAAGAAGGAAGCCCAGCTCCTCAGATTCAGTCTCGGCCCATGAGGTGGCAGGTGACAGGCACAGTAAGAGCCGCCCCCTGCCAGCATTCACACCCACTGGAGGACTCTCCTCATAAGCCTTGGGGTCCTGGCCTTCACCCTAAGCCTAACACCCACAGGCTGAAGGTAACGGGTGCAAGTGTTAGGGGTTCGCAGGGGGAGGCGGTGATCTGGGACTTGAAAACATTTTCTGCAGGAAGAAAACCGACCACTTTCTTCCACATGCCCGAAGCAGACTTTCCTCTCAAGTCCCACAGGCTCTAGCCAACTCTAGCCTCAAATCCCTCACAGCCATGCCTCCTGTATGGCACTCTGCAGCAGGGCAAAGTTTTCACGGTTCACCTGGAGAACCAAGGTGTTGGAAATGGGTGTCTGGGTCCCTGTGGGGGCCTGGCTAGAGCAAGGTTCTAGGACTGTGAAGGTCCTCATCTGGCTCTACCATGGGAAAGGTATTGTGAGGAATAAATGAAATAATCCAAATAAAGCAGCTGGCCCAGTGCCCCCACAGGAGAATCAGATTTAATTATGGCAATAATATAGCAGGTGTACTGACTTAGAATAATATCTATAATATATTCTTAAGTAGAAAAAAACCAAGTTGCAGAACAGTATAAATAGCTGTGCTGTCTCAAACAGTGGCCATAAGCCACAGGTACCCATTTCAGTTTAAATACCTTTACGTTAAAGTGAAAATTCAGTTCCGTCCATCATAATAGCTACATTTGAAGTACTCAGGAGCCACATGTGGCTTGTAGTTACCATAGTGGACAGCATAGATCTAGAACATTTTCATCATCAGAGAAGTTCTGTTGCACAGAACAGAGTAGTATGAGCCCATTTTTGTAGCTGAAAAAGACTGTGTGCACTTGCAAAAGCAGGCAGAAATATTTGGAAGGATGCCATGTCCCTGCTCCAAAAGAAGCTAACGATATGGTAATATGATAATGAAAGGGTGGAGACCAGAGCTCCCTGGATGGAACTCCCTAAGCAGACAGCAGCACTTCGAAGAGCTGCCACCCACAGGTGCCAACCCTTGGCAGGGGTGCTGGCCTGCGTGGGTGCCGGGGAGAAGCAGGGGCAATTTGCCGCAACATCCCAGGGGTGGCGTGGGGGCAGAGGTGGAGAGCCAGGAAAGGGCAGAGTGCCTAAATTAGGAAGCCGACTCGAGGCAGAGGAGGTGAGTGCACTGGGGGTGGTGGGAAGGCAAGCGGGCACCTGCACAGAAACAGCCCTGGGAGTCAAGGCCTTTCTCCGTGGGGATGGCCACCAGGTACTGCAGGAGGAAGCCGTTCTCCCTCGTGGCGAACTGCAGCACCTCCTGACAGTTCTCATCCAGACTGCCACCCAGTGTCACCGCCTCCTCGGCTGTCTCCAAGTAGGACGCCAGGACCTTGCGCACCAGCTCCCTCCATAGAGCGGCCTCCTCAGCATTCCCAGCCTGCAGCTTCAGGACAGCCTTGGCCGTGAGGATTTTGAAGCAAGATGGGCCCCCAAGGCTCGTGTCTGGCAGGATATCTCGGATGGTCTCAATTCCATGACTGTCACTTAACATCTTCTCATTGTTTCTCACTCGGAAGCATTTCAGAGACTCCAAGGATAGGGAGAAAATATAGGGCATCCAAGTCCTGTCAGTGTACAGGTACAGAAGGGATTCTTTAATAGCATCTGGCTCGGGAACTTGGGCAGAAGACCAACAGAACTGTGTGCCCTGGAGGGTTTCAGGCTCAGTGAGCAGGTCTGGGTGGGAGGGGAGGCCACCCTGGGGGGTGTCTGGGGGGTCCTCAGGCTGCTCTGGGTACTGGATGTTCACCCACTCATCCTCCTGCTGGGGCCGGCACTTCTGCAGGGCCTCCCGCACCCGGTCCAGCCAGTCCTCAGCTTCATCCTGGGAGGAGGCCCGCAGTGCCAGCTTCCTGCCAGAGAAGACCAGCTCAAAGCGGCCATCGCTGTGCGCCGGCCCCACAGACTCACAGCGCAGCAGTGAGCAGTTCTCCACGCAGGTGCGCTCCTCAGTGTTCAGGTAGAGGCGGAACTCCAGAGGGGAGAGCTCGCAGAAGAGCTCCTTCCAAATGCCCATCGCCCCTCGCCGCTCCACGGTGCCCAGCTTCATGAGACCCCGGAATGGGTTGGACAGCCCTGGGGGCAGAAAGGGGCACTTTAGACAGCGGGCCATCCCTCTACCTCCTGAGGCCCTGCAGCGGGTGTGGACAGTGGCTGCCACCAGAATAAATTTGAGCACTTTCATCCTGTCCTCACCCTCAGCTTGTTGACCTTGTTTCTGAATTGTTTATCTGAGACAAAAAAAAAAAACACTCAAAAGATGACCTCCACAGACCCCTTGCTACAGCATCTGTACCCACACTCTGACATCCCCCTTGTCACCAGGGATGAACTGACAGCTCAGTCTGAGGCCAACCCCTCTGTTTGATTGAGCAGAGGACCCCCGCCCCTGCCTATTCAGGGATAAGGGCATCTCTCCAGCAACCCATCCTCCCTCTCCTGTGTCACTGCTTTCTCCCTTCCCTCCTGGATCATTCCCACCAGCACACAAACACGCTGTTATTTCTGCCATCTTTAAAAATAGCCTTCTTGATGGCCCTCACATCTCTAATTACCACCCTGTTCCTTCGTCCCCCAAGGAGGTATCACAACAATCTCAAGTTCCCCAATTCCCATTCCATCTTGAATCTGCTCCAGTCAGGCTTCTGTCCCCTCCTTCCACTGAAACTGTGCTTGGAAAGCCCCATGCTCTCCTGGTCACCAAATCCAAAGGCTAATCCTTAGTCCCCATCTGGCCTGACCCATCGGCATCACTGGACACAGCTGAGCCCTCCTTCCCTCATGAAACACTTCCCTCACTCGACCGCTGAGGACTGCCACTATGGGTCCTCCTCTGCCCTAACGGGCCACTCTTCTGTCCCCTGGGCTTGCTCTTCCTTCTCTCCCTGACTTCTCAACATTGATGCACCTTAGAGCTCAGCCCTGGGGCCTCTTCTTCAGCGATACCCACTTCCTACCTGATCTTACCCACATTCAGGGCTTTATGCCAACAATGCCCTGGTTTTTAATCTCCAGCCTGAACCTCGCGCTTGAACCTCAGATTCAGATCTCCACCTGCTGTGTGCACGTCTGATATCTAGCATGTAATATCCCCTCAAAGTTAATATGCCCAAAATGAATTCCTGACCCTCCCACTGCAAGCCAACTTCTCTCCCAACATTCCTCATCTCATAAATGGCACACTGTATTCTTCTAGCTGCTTGGGCTAAAAACCCTGCAGTTATCCTTGATTCCCTTTCTTCCACACCCCATCTCCAGTCTATCTGCAAATCCTGCTGGCATAGCCCAGAAACCCCATTTCTTACCACCTCCATCGCTACCATATGGGCTCAGCTGGCCATCACCCCTGGCCTGGCTTATGGTGAGAGCCACCTGACTGGTCTCTCTCCCTGAGGTCCTTCAACATATGAGCCAGGATGCCCCCCCCCCCCCTTTAAAGGAAGTCAGACCATATCCCTCTGCCCCGAATCCTGCAATGGCTGCCATCTTCCTCAGAGCAAAAGCTAATGACTGTTCTGTGGCCCGAGAGGCCCTCTGTCACTTGGCCCTCATCTCCTCAGTTTCCTGGGCATGTGCCCAGCACAGGTGCTTTGCATTTGTTCCCTTGCTTGAGACACACAGGTCGCCCCATGCCTTCTTCCCTCCTTTCCTTCACATCTCCTCACATGTCACCTTATTTATGAGGGCCCCCTTGGCCATCCCGTACAAAACAGTACACTCCCCATCTTGGCACTCCCCAGTTTACTCTTCTCCATGGCGATGATTATCACCAGCCCATACTGTACCTTTACCTGTTAATTTTCTTATTTCCTGTCTCTTGCACTAGAACAGCAGTCTATGAAGACAGAGACTTTATTTCACTTCCTGCATGTCCCCAGCACCTAGAACAGCCTGACATATCACAGATAACTATCTGCTGAGTGAGTACATGTAGAAATGCTCCCTGTTACATAGGGGGTCTGCCCCTAACCGGGGATCCGAAAGACACGTGGTTTTCTCTCTCCCAGCCTGGACTGGCCTTGGAGATTTCAAACAATTGTATAGGGTCTTCCTACCCTTCAGGGAACCTGACAGCCTAGGTGTGAAGCACATTCTCTGGCATGGTTACAATTACCACATGGACATAAAGAAAAACCTAAAAGAAGCCAGCATGGAGACCAGGGCTCTACCCATACCCCTCAAGCCAGGAACCTGGCAAGAATTGTCTGTTGGGTCACTGCAAACACAAAACGAAGCGAGAAAGAGATGGACTCTAGGACTCCAGGTCATACTTTTTTGTTTATGCGGATTGTGGAAAAATTAGTTTATGGTTATTGAACGCATTCTAGAATTTCACAGGGTATCACTGTAAACAGCACATAGAGCACACTAACTAGAGCTGATAACACCCCACCAGAGCCATCAAACAAGCCAACTAAGATGAAGGCCTTGGGAAGAGACATTGAGATGCCTTCAGGAGGCATAGTTTGCTCTAGGCTCCAGGTAGAACCCAGAATTTTGTATAATCATATGACTTCAGGGGAAAAGTTTCAATATTTCAATATATGAAACAGGTTTTTGAGTATTATTTTGTCGAGATATTATGAGAAAACGTAGTACTTCTCCTGAAATGCTTTCCCGAATTACTCAGCACGGGTGCTCCATATTACATTTGGGGAAGAGATTGTGCTTGTAAGGAGAAGACACCCCCCAGCTGGTAATGGATAAGGGGCCTTTAGCCCTGCTCTCTGGAAGGCCCTGTGCCTGCAGTGTGAGGTCGCCAGAGCCCTGCGGCCACCTACCCATCTGCCGGCGGTGCACAACCCTGAAGTTCTTATGCTCCTGTGCAGTGGCCGCCTTGCTTCTCCTGCTTCCTGGGGAAGGCACACAGGCTTTGTCTAAGGATCCTGTGGAGAAGCTTTTCCTCGGTCCTTGGGAACAACGCCTGAGGAGACTAGGCCTTGACTCGGGTGACCCTCCGAAAGGAGCCACAGAGCGCTCTGAGGGGCTCTCTGTGGGAGGCTCTTGGGGAGGCCTGTAGAAATCATCCTCTGAGATCCAGCTCTTGTTTTTCTAGTGGAAAAGAGTGAAGACAGAGGTTGTTTTCAATGAACATCTTTATCAAGACACAATTTGCCTATCATTAAATTAATCTATGCCACATTTGCAGTTTAAAAGTTTCAGTGTGTTCAAAGAGTTGTGCAACCATCACCACAATCTAAGTTTAGGATGCTTTCATTACTCCAAAAAGAAAGCCCATGCCCATGAGTGGTCACTCACCATTTCCCCTCAACTGCTTCGGTTCTAGGCAAGCAATAATCTACTTTCTGTTTCCATTGATTTGTCCATTCTGCATGTTTCATAAAAATGGAATCTTCTAACACATGGGCTTTGCATCTGCCTTCTTCCCCTCAGCATCAGGTTTTCAGGGTCTGTCTGTGTTACAGTAGCTGTGAGTACTTCATTCCTCTTTATTACTAAATGGTATCCTGTGGTACAGATGTACCACACTGTTTGCTCACCAGCTGACAGGCATTAGGGTTGTTTCCCCTTTGTGGTGATTATGAATAATGCTGCTGTGAACATTCATGTCCAAGATTTTGTGTGGACGTATGTTTTCCCATTTCCTTGGGCACATACCTGTGAGTGGAAGTGATGGGTCATATGGTTAACTGTGTCTAACTTTCTGAGGAATTTTTCTTTCTTTTTTTAATTGTAGGAGTCAGGTCACACAGCTCTTAGAGACAAATGAACCTGGATTTGAGATCCTTTTTTTTTTTTTTAAAGATTTTATTTATCCATTCATGAGAGACACACAGAGAGAGAGGCAGAGACACAGGCAGAGGGAGAAACAGGCTCCACGCAGGGAGCCCGATGTGGGACTCGATCCTGGGACTTGAGGATCACCCCCTGGGCTGAAGGCAGGCGCTAAATTGCTGAGCCACCCAGGCATCCCATTTTCTGAGGAATTTTTAAACTGTTTTCCGAAGTGGCTCTACCATTTTACATTGTCACCAGCCACATATGAGGATTTTGATTTCTCCATATCCTCTCTACCATTTTTTGTTATCTGTTTGATTATAGCCATCCTGATGGGTGTGAAGTACCATTTTGTGGTTTAGGCTTGCAATTTCCCCAATGTCTAATGACACAGCAATCTTTCTTATGCTTAGGGGACATTGGTAGATCTCCTTTGGAGAAATGTCTATTCAAATCCTTTGCCCATTTTTAAATTGGTTTGTCTTTTGGTCCTTGTGCTATAGGTTGAATTGCATCCCCCACAAAGATATGTTAAAATCCTAAGCCCCAGTATCTCAGAATGTGATCTTTTTGGGAAGTAGGGTTGTTGCAGATGTAATTAGTTAAGCTGAAATCATGCTGGGAGAGGGTGAACCCTTCATCCAATGTGATTGGTCTTCTTTGAGTTCTGCTCAAATTTTAATTAACTCTCTTCTTCTGCTGGGCATCGGGTCCATTTGCTGTTTTTTCTCTAGCTCCTTTATGTGTAAGGTTAGCTTTTGTATTTGAGTTCTTTCCAGTTTTTGAATGGATGCTTGTATTGTGATGTATTTCCCCCTCAGGACTGTTTTTGCTGCATCCCAAAGATTTTGAACAGTTGTATCTTCATTCTCATTAGTTTCCATGAATCTTTTTAATTCTTCCTTAATTTCCTGGTTGACCCTTTTATCTTTTAGCAGGATGCTCCTTAACCTCCACGTGTTTGAGGTCCTTCCAAACTTCTTGTGATTTAGTTCTAATTTCAAGGTGTTATGGTCTGAGAATATGCAGGGGACGATCCCCATCTTTTGGTATCGGTTCAGACCCGATTTGTGACCCAGTATGTAGTCTATTCTGGAGAAAGTTCCATGTGCACTTGAGAAGAATGTGTATTCAGTTGAGTTTGGATGTAAAGTTCTGTAGATATCTGTGAAATCCATCTGGTCCAGTGTATCATTTAAAGCTCTCGTTTCTTTGGAGATGTGCTTAGAAGACCTATCGAGGGTAGAAAGAGCTAGATTGAAGTCACCAAGTATAAGTGTATTATTATCTCAGTATTTCTTCACTTTGGTTAATAATTCGTTTAAGTATTTGGCAGCTCCCACATTCGGGGCATGTATATTGAGGATTGTTAAGTCCTCTTGCTGGATAGATCCTTTAAGTATGATATAGTGTCCCTCTTCATCTCTCACTACAGTCTTCGGGGTAAATTTTAGTTTATCTGATATAAGGATGGCTACCCCTGCTTTCTTTTGAGAACCATTTGAATGGTAAATGGTTCTCCAACCTTCTATTTTCAGGTTGTAGGTGTCCTTCTGTCTAAAATGAGTCTCTTGTAGACAGCAAATAGATGGGTCCTGCTTTTTTATCCAGTCTGAAACCCTGCGCCTTTTGATGGGGTCATTAAGGCCGTTCATGTTCAGGGTTACTATTGACAGATATGAGTTTAGTGTCATCATGATATCTATTTAGTCCTTGTTTTTGTGGATTGTTCCACTGAACTTCTTCTTAAAGGGGAATTTTAAGAGTCCCCCTTAAAATTTCTTGCAGAGCTGGTTTGGAGGTCACATATTCTTTCAGTTCCTGCCTGTCTTGGAAGCTCTTTATCTCTCCTTCCATTTTGAATGAGAGCCTTGCTGGATAAAGTATTCTTGGTTGCATGTTCTTCTCATTTAGGACCCTGAATATATCCTGCCAGCCCTTTCTGGCCTGCCAGGTCTCTGTGGAGGGGTCTGCTCCCCATGAAAGTCAGGGACTTCTTGTCTCTTGCTGCTTTAAGGATCTTCTCTTTATCTTTGGAATTTGCAAGCTTCACTATTAAATGTCGAGGTGTTGAACGGTTTTTATTGATTTTAGGGGGGATCTCTCTATTTCCTGGATCTGAATGCCTATTTCCCTTCCCAGATTGGGAAAGTTTTCAGCTAGGATTTGTTCAAATACATATTCTGGCCCTCTGTCCCTTTCGGCGCCCTCGGGAACCCCAATTAAACGTACGTTTTTCTTCCTTAGGCTGTCATTTATTTCCCTTAATCTGTCTTCATGGTCTTTTAATTGTCTCTTTTTTCCTCAGTTTCCCTCTTTGCCATTACTTGTCTTCTATGTCACTCACTCGTTCTTCCACCTCGTTAACCCTCGCCGTTAGGACTTCTAGTTTGGATTGCATCTCATTCAATTGATTTTTAATTTCTGCCTGATTGGATCTAAATTCTGCAGTCATGAAGTCTCGTGAGGCCTTAATGCTTTTTTCTAGAGCCACCAGTAGCTGTATAATAGTGCTTCTGAATTGGCTTCTGACATTGAATTGTAATCCAGATTTTGTAACTCTGTGGGAGAGAGGGCTGTTTCTGATTCTTTCTTTTGAGGTGAGGTTTTCCTTCTAGTCATTTTGCTCAGTGCAGAGTGGCCAAAAACAAGTTGTATTGGGAAAAGGAGAGAAAGAGAGAGAAGGAAGAAAAGAGAAAAAGAAAAAAGAAAAAGAAGAAAAAAAGGAAAAAAGAGAAAAGAGAAAGAAAAAGAAAGAAAGGTGAAAAAAAAGGGGGGGTGGGGGAAGCAATCAGAAATCAAAAGAAAAGAAAAAAGAAAAAGAAAAACAAAAAACACGGGGGAGTATCTTCTTAATCTGTAGACTTTAAGTCCCTTGACTTCCCCTGGAACTGGTCCCTCTAGCTGGTCTTCTGGGGGAGGGGCCTGCTGTGCTGATTTTCAGGTGTTAGCACTTGGGGGAGCTTCTCTGCCCCTGCCTGCTGCAGGGCTCAGTGGGGGTTGTTTACCCCGTGAGGCCCCAGGAAGAACAGCCACAGTGGTTATGGCAGTTCTGGAAGCCTGGATTCAGCCCCCGCAGGAACTACGGGGCTCTCCGTCCGCAGGGCCTGGAGGCTCCGGGGCGGGGCCGCTGATCTGATCAGCAGGAGCGTCCTTGCTGTCCTGGGCCCTCCCGGCCTCTGCCTGTCCCGGGGGGAGGCCGGATCCTGGGCTGTGTCCCGGCGCCCTGTGCTCCGGGGCCTGCGCTGTTGGATTCGCGCTCCGGGTCGCGCAGCCGCCGTCTGCGGAGCCGCTCGAGCCCCTCTGAGCTGCTCCCGGCCGCGCAGCCCCCTCGGCACGGAGCCTCTTCCTCTGCCCGAGCTGCCGCCGCCGCCGAGCTGCTCCCGCAGCTGCGCAGCCCCCTCCGCGGAGCCGCCGCCCGAGCCCCTCCGAGCTGCTCCGGTTCCCGCCGTGCGCGCTGCAGCCCTTAGGGAGCTCGGCGCACTCTCCTGCGCGCGCAGGTGTCTGTTAGTGTCCCCGGGAGCCTGAGGGCATCCCCGCCCTCCTGGGTCCTGCTCCAACTCCCTGCGAGCCCCTTTCTGCCCGGGAAGGTTGGTGCAGCTCCTGCTTCTCCGGGACGGGGCTCTCCTGTCCTGGGGACACTCGCCCCGGCCTCAGCCCGGCTCCCCGTGGGGCCCCTCCCCCTCGGAGGCCGTTTGTTTCTTATTTCTTTTTCCCCGTCTTCCTACCTTGATAGAAGCGCGAACTCTTCTCACTGTAGCGTCCCAGCTGGTCTCTCTTTAAATCTCAGGCCGAATTCGTAGATTTTCAGGATGATTTGAAGGTTATCTAGGTAATTTGGTGGGGACAGGTGATTTGGGGACCCTACTCTTCCGCCATCTTGCCCCTCCTCTGATTAGTCTTCTTTAAGAGGAGAAAAGACATACATACAGAGGAGAATCCCAAGAGAAGACAGAGACACAACAAGAAAGCCATGTGATGACAGGGGCAGAGCTTGGAGTGATGGGTCTCTGAGCCAAGGAACATCAAGGATTAACATCAAAGATTGCCGGCAACTCCAAGCTGAGAGAAGGGTGCAGAACAGATTCCTTTTCAAAACCTCCGGAAGGAACCAACCCCATCTGGATTTTGGGCTTCTAGCTCCCAGAACTATCACAGAACGTGTTTCTGTTGTTTTGAGCCATCTAGTTTATGGTATTTTATTACAGAGGCCTTAGGAAACAAATACAAGTTGTAAGGGTTCTTTACATATTCTAGGGTATATGGGTTACTAGGCTTATAGCATATTTATGGTTTGCAAATAATTTCTCCAA